AGAGGGGTCTTAGTTTTCGTAATTACGAAAACTAAGACCCCTAAATTTACCGTTAAATTTGACCTAAAACTCGGTGGAAAGGATCGAACATGATATACACCGAATGCAAATATGGCGGACCTCTCGGACGGCCCGGGTCTAGTTGCGCGAAAGCGAGGCTAGTGAGGCCTCTAGAGTTTTGTTTTGACTGCGCGTCTTAGCGATTCAGTCGATCGAAATGGTTTGCTTCGAGTTGTTGCATGCCTGAGGGCCACCAAAAAGAAGATTTTACTCTAGCTGGAATAGCCTTTACTTCCCCGAGATCTTTTCACAAAGAAAGTTAAGGATTCATGCGATTCGGCGCGGCGATGGGAAGCACTTTACAGCGAAAGTGTGCTCGCTTCACTTGCTTTAGATGAGAGGACTCACGAAAATATTTGAATGAAATAATTTTCACAAGAGATGGTGCTGTTCAAAGATGTTTGCATGGTCTGTTATTTATCCAACAAAAGGTAAACGTTCTCGAGAACGGGTTCATCCGCTGTGGACTGTAAAATCTTTTAGATTTCACGCTGAAAACAGCTGCATTAAAATATAACAACAACAATAACAATAACGCAATCGCCTGTTAATCCTACAAGCGTGGCCCGTGAAACTATGTAAGAACCAGAAGAAAGCGACGTATTTCAAGAACAGTCCTTGACCAAAGTGCACTGAAAAAACTAACACAGGAACCGTTGCCAACTAAGAAAGTAAGAAGAAGGAAAAAGGTTCTGCAGAGAAAGAGCGTGAAAGTATTCGAGCATTGTATTTGACCTTACGCGTGATCTATTTTAGCAACTTGTCGAATGGTTTCGAGGTAAACTAACAGCGATTTTCCAAAAATTGCTTCTTTCATTGCACTGAACAAACTCTTGAACACAGGATCGTGAAGACTGTGAAAACATTCAGCCTTGTTGTCTGTCGTTGTGTCCCTGGGAGCGCCTAAAGATTGGTAAGTCGCGACGGCGGAGTCACTCGTTCTCGAGGATATTTACCTTTCCTTGGTAAGGGAACGGACAAAGCAAACTTGAAACACTGAGAACCATGAATCTTTCAGTTATTCACCCATTCTAATAGTTTCGTGAATCTTCTCTTCTGAAGTGAAGCGAGCACACTTTCGTTCTTTTAACTCCGTGATAGTAAAGTGCCTCTATTCGCCGCGCCGAATGGCTTGAATCCATTTCTTTCTTCGTAAAGAACCTTGGCAAAGCGAAGATAATCAAATTTCGTCTCTGCTGGAGTTAAATCTCCTCTTTGATGGCTCTTAAGGGCGTAACAACTCGAAGGAAACCATATTGATCGACTGAATCGCTAAGACGCGCAGTCAAAACAAACCTCTCGAGGCCTCACTAGCCTCGCTTTCGCGCAACTAGACCCGGGCCGACCGAAAGATCCGCCATATTTGCATTCGGTGTATAATTTGACAGATCAGACCTATTTCGGTTACAATTTGACTTTATATTTCGACGGATTCGATTTTAGGGGGTCTTAGTTTTCGTAATCTCGAAAACTAAGACGGGTCTTAGGTCTTAGGTCTTCGTTTTCGAGGGTCTTAGTTTTCGTAACACCCCTTGCCCGGTGGGTAAGAAAGGCCCACCAGGGGTTAAAATAGCCTTTATAACTGCAGCTACTATGGCGATTATGACCTCAGTCTGTTTCTACAGAGGTTATCTTGAGTGACGTCTTGGAAGGTCCCAGCAGCTCCGTCTATCTAATATTAATTTATCGCCCTTTATATCTCTGCAGAATAATAACACATCAACCAGCTTCCCCATTTTCCTTGAAGGGGTATCAATTTGTAGGATATTGATAATTATGATTTAGCCTGTTCGTGAGGGTTGTGCACAGGCCTGTTGCTATATTGTTTCCCAATTGTCTACTAATAATAGAACAAAGAAAAGCCGCCGTACAGATTACTTTGCTTGTTTTGATTATAGTTTTATATGCAAACAAATAAATCGACCCTTATGATGTGTCTGTTTTGTCATTCTGTTCTTTACAGAGTTGAATTATCGCTTTAAAAGTTTCTGTTTCCTTTTCCTTTTCCTCATAAATCACACTAAGCAAAGTTCTAGATATAGATTAAAATCTCTGTTGTTTACAGAATTCTCAAAGCACGTGCCATCAATGCACCAAGAAATGTTTTATTGCCGGTCACTGAGGCCTTGCCTGTTTTGATAATTTCTCTGGCACGGAAAAAGGTGAATTTTTAGGTTAAAACGCCGGATCACTGAATGATGATATATCCATTCTGATTTTCCAACAACTAAACAGCCCACACCACTGAACAAAAGCTAACAAAAGCCAACTGCAGAATAATCAATTTCAGATCAAAATACTCCTTCTAGCTAGTGGATTTGTCTTTCGTTCAACAATAACTTTCAACTTTAACTTTTAACTTCAGTTATTTATTACTTCAGAACGGTTTACAAACTAAAATTAACATACTATAGCTAACTATTAAACAGATTATGTTTACAATTTGCTAAAATACCATTACCCTACATGATTGACACTACCCGCAAATAGCACAGGCTAACCGCCGCGGGCAGTGATAGCAATTTACAGAAAGCCTAGAATCAGTTAGATGTCAACGTTTCTATAAAGTACATAAATAGATGAATTAATTAAATGAAAAAAGTAAAAGAAAAATTCACTAGTTGAAGCACACACTTATTTTTGAAAGCTAGCTGAATTACAGACAGTAATTGCGATAGGAAGACATGATTATAGACCGCACGTTCTTGGAAAAAGAGCTGCTGAATCCATATAATCATCCTCAGCGGCGAGGATTTTCAGAAGTGAATTATGAATTTTTTGCTTAAATTCCTAGCGAGAGAGTCAACGTGTAGCACTACTTAGAGAATTCCAAATGACGGGTGCTTGGGGAAAACAGACCTTGAATGTCCGACTCTTAATGAGTATCTATATGTAGAGAGGGAGAAAAGCGAATAAGAAGTGGCAGGAAGTCTTTCTTTTCTTAAAACTGAGATATAACATACGCACAGTCGGAAGCCGTTGGAACAGCCTTGTAGTTAAGCTTAAAATGTCTGGAAGGCCTAGAAAAGTCAGCTCAACATTCATGTTTTAAATACAAACATAATGTTCGCCAAAATCCGCCAAAAAAAAAAAAAAAACCTTTAAATCCGAATCCCAAGTACCTTCTTAATTCAAATCCGTTATTGCACAAACAAATTCAAACATACTACTCTCTAGCTGCAATAAAGTAGTTTTTAATTTCCACATGTATTTACAAGTTCCAAGTTTAAAGTCCTTTCCTAGCCTAATAGTTTACACTAGACAATAGTTCAGAAGCACTTTTCCAATAGCTTATAGAACTGACAAACACTTATTGTATGTAACAAGTTGACATATCGGCATTATTGAACTTGCCCTTAAGCCGTCGCTGCAATCTTACAATTAATTAGTTTTTGGCATTGTTAAAATGATGGATCAATAAAAACAGTTTGTCTCAATTTTTAGTTTGTTTCATTATGAATCTAGCTGCTTCTCTTTGTAAAGCTTAGAATCACTGAAAGAACCAACAAAAGAACCCTTGCAATTTATTTCAGTGAAGACCTTTTACGTTATTCGTGCAGAAGCTGTATGAGCTTGAAGTAAGGCTTGTCTGGTGAGTCATTTTCCGAGCAATACTTAACTTGCAGGTCATTTTCTCTGTTACGTAGTGCAAACTGATAAGTACAACAGGCACTGCACGCAAACTATGTACATGGAATTCTGTTCAAGTTTCGTAAATGAGACTGTTTCTGATCCGAGAGATCAGTTGTTTATAAAGCTGAAACTCCATGTAAACCTGAACTCGTACCCAAACAGGACAGATGGCCGTCACCACACTGGGTAAGCTGTGGCTTAAGATGATTTTGTGCAAAACTGTCGACAGGGATGGACCTTGAAGTTATAAAAATTAATTTCGTTATTTAGTTTTTTTTTTTTTTAATAACTTTAATAATAATAAAGAATACTTTTGAGCGCACAACTTCCTTTAAAACCTTATCGTTTAGCTTTAATGATTCATTTGTGAACAACATAAATTGTACAAATGAATTGTCCGCCAATCCCTTCTTGTTAAGCTTATACCCAAAAAACAAAAGGATTTGAAAAAAAAACAAAAGCAAAAACAAAAAAACAATTATATCCAGACAGTAAGAAAAGCCTTTCCTTCTATTCACTTCACTCACGCTATAATTTGACAGGGCTGATTTGAATTATTTTATGGAGAGCATACGAATGGATTTCAATTTTAAGGCGTAGACAGTTTGCTACTTGCTCGTGTAAGTAAAAGAACTACAAATAATTAAATGATCATTGCATGATCTGGTACTTTAAGGAGTGGAACTTAACCCGGCTTAATTATCTAACGATGATTTCGGTTGAATCAATAAAAATAATTGATCACGAGAATTTGATAAAAGAAGTCAGCCAAATATATGATAGACTGTTAAAGTTCTCTATCAAAGGAAAGGAAAAGGTAAAGAAACAAAGTGAGCATTTGTAAAGTTTTTAAGTTTCAACTGGCTTTTCTGTAAACAACTACTGCGACTGGAATATATAAATTAATATAATTGGCAGTAAGATACTTACCCACTAAACGTCTCATGAATTTCTTTTTATTTCAAAAGGGCACAAAAGTCAGAGGGGGACAATTGGGTGAAATAAAGAAGCGCATGAGTGTTAACATATAAGCTTTACTTGCTCTCAGCAACGGTAATTATAATTTTAGCCAAATAGAATAAATCCACTCGACCAGAGTCTCTAGTATATGGTAAGTCTATGCCGGTGGGTGGTTTCCCCCCTTTCCACGACCTCAACGCTAGGACCACGGCAGATCATATCCATTTAAGGTAAATTAGTGCTTCACTGCTCCTTACTGTCCACGCAACAGAAATGATGCCCTCACGTGAGGACAAAGTGTATATTATTTGCACAAGAGGGAGCGGCATTTCTTCAGTTAATTCAAGATGGTGGGAGAGCAACACCTTCCGTTTGTCCTCTACGCAATTTTTACTGCTGTGCTTCTTAGTGAAGGAAGTCAAGGTATATTGGGTAATTTTTTGTTTATTAAGAATATGAGCTCTAACATGCTAATAGTTGTCGGCAATTTTCTTCAGCAAAATAATGTGGAAGTTTCATTTCGAGTAAGGTAGAAGGCATTGGTGGTGGGGCACGCACGGAAATAGGAAGGTACTGAATACGAGCTTATACTCAAACGTTAAGGACTCTAGCTACGCTCAGTGCGTGTAACCTTTCATAAATCTACCAAATGCAATAGTCCAGAGGTAACAGGGGGCTATTTTAGCCTAAAAAATTATTATTCTTTTACAGAAGTCATTTTCAAAGCTGGAAAAATCAATACAACTACCAGGAACCCAGGGTTGTTCGCGTGTGAGAAAATCACATTCGCTAGACTGTTCTCTGGCGGAAAGCAAGTGAAAGTGTTTGCCTCGTCTGGACACTCAGTGATCAGCCAAACCCGTGGTAATGGTGCTGCTATTTGGGTGGAATCGGTAGATAGAAATCAATTCCGCGCTTGCTTCTACGAGTACAGCAACGGCTCAAATACAACTGCTGAGATAAACTGGATTGCCCTACAATCTGCCCCTCCGGGGGCACAACTAGGAACCACTTCCTTGGGCTCTTGGACTACCGGAACAGAATGTAAGAAGATCTACTTTCCTCAGTTTAGTTTAATTTTGAAAAGAATATGTTCACTGTACAAAGTAACGTGATCGATTGCAAAAAGGAAGAATCCAGAACGGTCAGACAGAGTGGTCTTGCAAGATGAACAAAACTGAACGATATGCATAAGGTTACTACTCATTTGGAGAAAATTTATATTAATTATAGTCTGGAAATGTATCATTTCTTCGAGTTCTAAGAAAGATGTATACTAAAAGAGAGTTTTTCCTATGATAAAACCATTGAGAGAACAAGGTCAGTTTGTTAATACATCCTTCTCCCTTTTTCTTTTGCTGTATTTTGATTGTTTGTTTTTGGGACGCCCAGTGTTACGGCTAAGTCATACGCGCAGTTGAATGTATTACAGGAGAAGGTAGGATAAGTTGTTTTGATTCGCCAATTAAAAGTTGATTGTTGGCGTGGCTCCCTGCTAATCGCACCCGGCCTTTGCCACACAAATGGAACTTTCATCTTGCCGTTGAACAGCCAAATCCGATTTCGTTTTGCAGTAAAGGACATTCTTGGATGCCTGACAGATGACACTCTAAAATAATATTATTGTCAAACATTTTCTTTGGCTCAAACGCAAAGAACATGTTAATGCGTACCTCCTTTGATGTTGAAAAACGTTGTCCTGACCCTTCATCATGCAATTATTTGTTCAAACGCTGGACGTGTGTTCACTTCTGTAGAATCATTTTCCTATCCGACAGAACTTCTTTAACATTATATAACAGACACATAATGATCGATTTGCAACGCATTTGAATAAAGAAATATTAAGCACAAATAATCTTTTGGTTGACACTACGCTCTAAGTTGATCGATTTTTTTTTTTTTTTTAATGCGTGGAATAAGCTACTAATCTGTGCAATTACCAATTCACGAACTCTCGCAATGACAATACGAGCCACAAAGAAAGCGAAAACTCGTGTAACACCTTTCCCTGCCCCCTCCAACCATAAGACGTTTGCACGGTTATGTAGGACTCCAGGGTGTATTAAACTTAACCAGCCAACCTTTCAACACCAACCCCCACTATTCCGAAGAGTGATGTGCTCTTCATGAAATACACTTATACCTACCCATATAATCCGTCATACACTGACACTTGCATTCACATACAAAAAGTCTTAAATATAAGCAATGAAACATTGGCCTTTATAATGGTAAAGTTAGTTTCCAATTGCTATCTAATCTATTAGTTTATAAAACAATAACACGGAACGCATCAAACATTGTTTAAATTGTTGTAAATTTTCAGTTAAAATGAACTTAATTTAGAAATATTAAGTTGGCAAAACAAAGAGATTTGGCAGTCAGTCACCGTGTATGATTTATTATCTTTGGCGTTTCCTTTGTTAAAGAATTTCATAACGTTGTTCTTCAAACGCGGTGTGCGTGCCGTTACCAAACGGAAATACATTCTTGCTCTCATTTTTTTTTTTTTTTTGGTCACTTTCCTCTGTCTAGAATTTTCAGTGCTCTTTTATTTGTAATTCAGCAAAATTTTTCTCCTTATTTTTAGCACTATAATAATAGTATAGTATTATTATTATTATTATTATTATTATTATTATTATAGTAATATTATTACTTGTTCAATTTTAACTAATCCTTTTTTCTTTTTCTTTTTTTTATTTAAAGCGTTTTTTGACCTCTCCAACTTTACTTGCAACTCCAAGTCACCAGTTTCCTGAGAGACCTCAAGACGCCATGGCAGTCTGGGTGGAGGAGTTGACCGAAGACAGTTTCAAAATCTGCCTCAGGGAAGTAAAGATTTTCGACGGACTTCACAAAGGCATTGCTATTGTGAGCTTGAAATTTTAAATTGCTTTTCAAAGATCTTTTAAGATTCTGCAATGAGCTGCCCAAAGACGCTTATTTGCTCTTAAGTTTATCATAATCGCAAGAAAAATGGTCGAAGTTATCATAGATTTGTAAAGTTCTTACGTATTAAGTTATAGCAATAAATAAATATGCCAAAATTTTAAGTCCAGTTCTTTTTAATATGTAATTTCCAATTTGGTAAAACATTGAAGAAAAAAAATACATTCCCCAAGTATATTTCTGTTACCATTTACTGCTTTGGAAGTCAGCTGGAACGCTTTCTAGCTTGAACCTTAGTATAAGAAATTAAACCATTTAATGAGCTATACTTTAGTACTCGTTTAAATGAATTGAAATCAGATTCCTTCTTCCGTAAAACTTTAGTGTTATGCAGACCGCGGGGAAGGGGCTTTTGCCAGGCTCCAAACTTAAGGCTCATGCTTAATGAGTACCAAGCTTAGCAATCTTCCTAAAACTTGTCTGGAAACATTTGTCCCCAATGTCAAAGTGTCCGCTGCCACCGATTGTTGACAGCCATATTTTGCAAAATTTGGAATTTTCCCTTTAATGCGTTTCTTTCTTTTTTTCTAGATTTTCTGATTGGCGTAAATGATAAAAAATTGTTAAAGAGAAAATTGTAAAAATGCAATCAAGGTTTTTGAAGAAAATTAATGTACAGAAGTGTTGAGATAATTTTCCAAGAATGTTCATTTCCCTCTGAATTTTATTGCTGGCACATTAAGTTTGCTTTCAGAATATTCTTCTACACACAAATAAGCAAAACAAATACATTTAACTTGTTCAAAATCAATTAAACGGTGAAAATGTATTCTTCAAATATCCTAAGGGTGTCTATTTAAGATCTGCAATTCAGGTAGAGTGTTCAGTTAGTTTTATTTGAATTGACAACAAGATAGACTCTGTAATATCGGTAAGGCTAATCGTTACGAAATTGTTAGAAATATTCTTTAGTGGGATAAGTGTCTTCAGCCTTCCCTTAATGACACGATAGTTGAGTTGAATTCAAACACTCCATCGACGAAACTGGATTGAAATGCTCTCATTTCTTACAGATGCATGCCCGATTGAAAGTTCCAGTTCCTCCTGTTCATCATCCTGTCACTTCTGTTGTTAAGGGCATTAATCAGTGTTAGCCTACTTCGCAATTTAATCAGACACCTTCCCATTTAAGTGTTTTCTATTATATTCAAGCTGAAGTCACACTACATAATTTTGTTGGTCAGTTTATCTCAAGATGTTAGATATGTTGAGCACTTTATTATGACCAAATTATCTGGTCTAGCTATATTATCATATGCGGTTTTTTAGTTATAGGGGGCGTGCTTCTAACTCCCCCCAGCTTAATAATAGCAGACACCTGATTTAGTAACATCATATGGCAAAAACGGCTTCAAATTTCTCAAATATGATTTTTATTTCATTGCTACAGAACTGGATGGCTTATACAAACCTCAGTATTGGAAACTTCACATTAACTGACAGCCTCTTATTTACGAATTATAACTTGTTATCTCAGCAAGCTAACCACGCCTTTTGCCAGGTACGAAAGTAAATTGTTATGTTGGTAAATGGCCGGAGCACTAAGATTTATTTCCATTAAAAAATTAGAAGACAGGATGATGTTCCTTTTTAACAGAACCAATAAACAACTAATCCTTAAGTTGTTCTAAATATTCTGCATTGTGTGTTAATTCATGGTCAGGAGTATTCTGCGAAACAAGTCGAAACTTGCTTGTTAAAGTCTTTTGTTCATTTTATTTATAATTCTCATGTTTTGCCATTTATCTTGAATAAAAAAGTTGTTTGTAACAAGCTATATCTTTCTTTGACAGCATATCAACTTTACAGATGAATTCTATGCTCCTCCTGTGGTGATAGTGACGGCAAAACGCATCAATAACGATTCGCGTTTGTCTGGATGTAACGCAATCACCGCTTGGGTCGAGGTAAAATTGTTTTACAAACTTACAGATAGCAAAAGAATAATTTAACGTTGAATCTTAATAAATATGATCAATCCATGCAGTGATAAAAGAAAAGAAATCCCAGATTGACAAGAAAGACAGAAAGTGTAAGAAAATCTTTTCACAAAGTTTAACGCCGCGCTAGTATCTGTTATCAGTGGTTTTCACGTGACGTCATCAAAATGAATACAAATTCATCAGTTATAGAGCAGCATAACCCATATTTTTACAAACTGTCTGTTCGAAAGGGCTCTTTATAGTTTTGACAGTGATAAACTACGCTGTTAATTTTTAACCTTTTGCGTGACGCGGCATTTGAAGGATCTGGAAGGGCCCAGAAAACTGTGATTTGGGTTAGAAAATTGTCTCCTTTTTTTGAGATTGTGCCATCCCAAACACAGACATTTTTGTTGGTTTCTGACCGCTATATTGGTGCCCCTCTGAGGAACAACAACATTAAGTTCTGTAAATTTGGGGAAAAAAAATTGTATCAGTATTTCCGCATAACAGGAAATATCACAAAGGCCTGAGTCTTTGCAAAGGTTTTTGAATATATTTATTTATCTTCTTTCATTTCCCGGATTCTGGACTTTCTTTATCACACAGAATCGATTTCCATTTTTGATGGAGTGACAGTGATAACCGGTTCAAAGGAATTGGAGGATGAATAAAATGTTCAAACCAAATCAATTTTTTTAGCAGCTACGAGTCCTCTTACTGATTCCTAAACATTCAAACAACTTTTATATCTGTGGTTAACCGTGCAGTTTTCGTCAAAGTTTCTCATCACCTTTACGTTTTGATCGTTTGTTTAGTAAAATTTTCAACACTGCTTTGGAGTAATAATGTTATTAGCAGTCTCGATTTTCTACCCTTAGTACACTTCCACCGCAAAAACAGAGATTTGTGTTCGAGTTTATGAAACCAAGAGCAAGGATACCATAAAAGTCGATTATCTGATTACTGGAGGTAGGTATATCACCCAGTAATGTAATAATCGGCCACTAATGTATTACTAACCACTAATACGGTAATAAAAAAAGTTAACAACTAATGTGATAACATTCTAACCTTTAATGTAATAAACAACTTAACCACTAATGTGATAACTTTGCGACCATTCATGAAACAAACTCAAAGAGAACTGCTAATTGTTTTTTTTGAGATTATTAGGATTTAGAAGATCATATGGTGCACGGCAAAAAAATAATCAGACGACCCCCTGCTTTGATGTCAAGTAATGCCGTTTCAACGCAATAGATCATTTAGGGCTTGTTCCATACACTTCCCTTTTACTTGAAGAATTTAAAATCTACTTCTCTTGAATTATTTCTTAGCTAATTTAGGCTCTAGTGTAAAGGTTAATATTGTCACTTTGTCTCGTTAACACTAACAGATCCTTTAGATAGAAGAACGGTGTTTAATTTATAAGCGTCAGTTCAACATGAATTCCCGATAACAAGAATGATAGCTTCCATTATTCACCTCACGGTTTTTCTCTTTCTCTCCCTCGCCATGTTCGGTAAAACTTCGTTGAAATTAAAGTAAAAGCAAAAAAACAGCAACAACAACAAAACAACAATCAAATAAATAATAAATAAAATGAATAAATAAATAACGATTTGCAGGTAGCACATCCACATACTGGTTCTTCGTCTACCCGATTCCTGGTTGAATTGGAATTTAGAAATGCTGGTTTTTGTGGAGTGTGGAATACCGGAGCACCCGGAGAAAAACCTCTCGGAGCAAGGGGAGAGAACCAACAACAAACTCAACCCACACATGGTGTCGACGCCGGCATTTGAACCCGGGCCACATTGGTGGGAGGCGAGTGCTTTCACCGCTGCGCCACCCCTGCTCCCCTAAATCAAGCCCTACTCTAGATTAATACTCATATAGACCAAATCCAAATCTCGGTATGAGCACTTAATTCCGTTAGATATATTATGCACACAAAAAAAATGATAATCATGCATCCTTTGTTTTACACAGACCTGGATCCTTGTATAGATGGCGTACACTGTGATTATCATGGTCTATGCAAAGCTTTTGGACCATACGATGCCCGCTGTGTGTGCATAGACAGTTGCCCATCTTATCAAGAGCCTATCTGTTCTTCTAACGGAACGACGTATGACAACAAGTGTCTCTTTAAGCAGGAAATGTGTTTGTTACAGCTGAACTTTACTGTGCAGCATCCTGGGAGCTGTGAAGGTATCAGTGATCTCGTAACTTATGGTATCAATTGTTATTTAATTCAATCACCCAAATTAACAACCCCTAAAAAAAGAAACGTCAAAAAGTCTTCACTAACAACTTATCGATATCACATCTTCTGAATCTCTATCATCAGTACCAGTTGAAATTCGTTTTAAAGGTATAAACTGGTTATTGAAGCGAAGCTTCCCTGAACATATTTCTATAACAAAAGCACAAACGAGGAAATTTTACCGTGACGCGATTTAATTAAAGCGAAAAATGCGTCGTTTTAGTAACGTAAAATGTGAAAAACTGAGGTCATTTAGGAAGGTGAACAGTTTATGACTTTAAAAATATTTATAATCTTGTCTAAAGAGGAGCTCGAGACAAATCGCCTCATCATAACTCGAACTCTCTCATTCTTTTTTTTTTCTTCTTTACATTTGCATTTTTGTACTACTTTGCAGGGTTCCCATTTCAGCGTGACCGGCGTCACATGCCTCATATACCTTCCTTGGGATACTCTCACTGTGAAGTAATTGGTTTCCGACCATTTGTGTTCTATCCTGATAAACCCGTTCAAGTGCAGGTAACTGTCAATCACATCGATACAAGGGACACGAATTACGTCCACGATGCTGCTGTGTCGTGGATTGAAGATGTGACCTACGAACAATTCACTGCGTGCGTGATGGCGGCTGGTTTCAACGAGCGCAGGTCCCGTGCTAATGTGTCCATAGACTGGATAGCTTATCAAGGAGCCCCAGAAGGTGGGATCAGTGGAGAGGTGCGCATGTCACAGTGGTGGACTGGAACAACATGCAAGACAGTGCGGTTTCCTTCAGTAAGAGATTTTTTCCACTTCTCTAAAATGTGCTTTTACTTTATTTATTATTACCTTGGTTTGTTAAAGTTTTGCCTGGTTGCACTGAATGACAAGGGAGAAAAAGAGAGATTTACGCGCAAAAAGTATAGTTTAATACCTACGTTTTAGCGACGACGGCTAACTTCCCTGAATTTCGTCATCGACGAAGGCTGGACGACTTTTTGACAACTTTAAACCGCTATACAGGTTCGCGCGGCAAAATTTCATTCAATTCCGGTCGGCGTCGTCGATGCTTAAGGTCCCTAATTACTATCGTTCTACATCCACGTTGGCCAAGGCCTAAATGTAATAAAGTCCTAAACGTAAAAATATTTTGTCCTAAATGTAATAACAACTTGCCCTAAATGTAATTAACTCTTTTAAGTTGCCAATTAACATCTGTACAGTAATTTCTCGAGTAAGCGCCACATTTGGGGCGAGGAAGTTTAATAGCCGCGCGCGCTTAGTCGCGCAAATACGGTACTAAGCGGTATTATTATGGTATTAAGCACTGCCCTCAAATAAGCGCCGTGGGGTTAATTCGCATAAATTCGGTACATTTCTTTAATTATGCACTGTGGAATAGTTCTAAATGCGAAGTTGATCCGTTCCACGCAAACGAAACCCGAGTCTATTTCGACTATAAAATTGATCAATTGGATTTGATGCTCTGTCTCCTGTAACCTCGCAAAAAGATTTTGGAGTAACGGTTACTGGTGACCTTACGTGGAACCAGTACATAAACAATGTTATCTCATAAGTACAGTGTTGCTGAACATAAGGATTTCTTCGAAGACACACCTGCTGCGATTTGGACACTGACAGACACCAGAAGACTTTTGTACCTTGCATTCGACAGATCTCCCCTGAATTGTGCTGGTGAGATCTGGGCACCTCAATCTATAGGAAATATCTCTAAAGTTGAAAGTCTTCAATGAAAAGCTACAAAATTTATGTTAAACTTGAGTTGAACGGAATCTACCAGCTGCCAGTTGAGGCTTATTAAACTGAACCTCTTGCCTTTTCCTTTTTTCTTTTGTTATGAAATCAATGATCGTCTTTTCAATTCTACTTCAGATGCCGATTAGGTCACTACAGTATCTGTCATAATGATTTTGTACAGCAGCTTAGTTTTAGATCTGTCAATTTCTAAGTGCCGCATTACATTGTTTTAAACTAGTTATTTCAATCGTTTACCTATTAGTTATGGAATTATCTACCAGCATCTATCTGCTCTGTTTTAATCTCAATAAATACAAATTCGTCAAGTCCCTGAGCTCAATGGACACGAACAGCGTGCCTGGGCTAAACTTTACGACGTCAACATTTTCAGCACGTGAAAATTTATCTGCCCCAAGTGCTGCGTTGCACGTAACATCATATGAAGTAATATATGCTGTTACTAGAGTTACAATTAATGTTTTTTAATACTCATGATATTTTTTAACCTTCTTAGTAAATAATAAATATCAATTTTTTAGCTGTTTTTTGGATAATTTAGTAGATTTAGTGCCCCACTTTAACTGAAGCCTCGCTCTGTTGTGTCACCCTCGCCATTGGTTTTGTTTTCCCTTAGTAGAATTTTTATTTATTTATTTATTTATTGATGTTTTTTTTGTAAAAGGATCAAATGCTGCACTACAATACGTCAGCATACACACACAAAAAAAGTAAAAGTCTCGCTCCGGCAATATACACACCATGTTAGAGGGTGTGCTCACAGTTCGGGTCATGGTACATCCAATTCAAAACTAACAGACAGGTACTTTTTTTATTATGCGGTCATAACACATGAAAACCGGACAACTGTTTTTAAAGTACACATGCAGACAAAATACAGATGTGTGGACCTCAATTCCCAGTTTAAACATAGTGCCTTCGTGTTTTAAGCTAATCCTATGAGACGTTACCTGTTTGAAGAAAAACTAGTACGAAACGCCTTCTTCACTTTGTCTTTGTTACTACCTATAGCAAGGAAGTGTTTTAATTGATTAATTAATTGATTATTATAAAATAAGTTATTTAAAAGTTATAGATTTAAACTTTTATTCACAACATGGCTTGCTTAGAAAATTTGATACAAGTAATTTTTTCTGTGTGGGTCTAGTCTCCAAAGGAGCCTTCGGTTTTGTGACCGTTGCACATCACCATGCCGGACTGAAGAGAGACGCCGCCAGTATTTGGTTGGAGGATATCACGCGATCTTCCTTTAAAATATGTTTAAGGGAACTACAAAATTATGCGGGCTCACATGAGGACATCTATGTCGTATGTAGCATACTTCATTTTTTGCCTTCTTACGTCCTTTTCTCAGTATTACATTTGTTGCGCGTTGAGTTGTGTCAAATTACATAATGTAGCGAATTTTCTCTTTCTTTCCATTTTTCTTTTTCTTTTTTTTTTTTTCTTTTCGTAGAACTGGTTGGCTTTTTCGTCACTTGACAAGCCCATGTTCTCAGAACACAACTCAGTTTATTTTGCAAACTCTCAGAAGCCTGCAGCCTGGAATAATAACGCATTCTGCAAGGTCAGTATAAATAGTATCTCGCTTAGCTTTATTTTATGTCACGTTTTCACCATTCGTTAATTTGACGGCTCTTTTCATCGATTTTGAAATTCATTGTATGTTCTTTTATTAGGATATTTCCTTTACCAAATTGTACAAGAATGCCCCAAGTGTATTTGTATCAGCGAATCACACCTCCAGTGGGGGAGGGCAGGATCCAATGCACAACTCCATAACCGCTTGGGTTGAGGTGAGTCAGTGGCTGCTAAAACTTAGAGGTGTGGAACGGTATCGTGAGCTTGTGATCCTTGTTGAGCTTGCTTTCATGGCAGTAAACTAATAATGATTATAATCTGTAGGAAGTGGTTCAGTGATAAAAAGACTTGTGCTAAAACATGATTGAACTAACATGGCTCCACACATGTTTTCTTGCATCTAAAGTTACGTTTTCCTTAATTTACGTCACATCTCTTTTGTTCCCGGGGGATTTCAGTGAGAAGACTAAGACCAATGGTTTGCCAAAATGGCAGCAACTTTGAACGTTTAAGAAAAAATTCTAAAAAAAAACACAACGTTGTGTTCGCATCGCAAAATTTTTCCGCAGACGAGGTTCTCGCAGTAATGCGTACTTTCAAATAATAATAATAATAATAATAATAATAATAAATGTTAGGTTATGGGCACTTTAAGCAGTTTCAATGACGTAACGACTAAACGCAGTGCTTTAAAAGTAGATAAAACTACAAACAGTAGTCAGTAGCAGATTAATTTTTTGTCGAGACTAAGACATGATAATTTAGGATTGGTGAATTAAAAATGTAAAAATGATCATCTGTTTTTATTTATTTATTTTTCATTTTAATTTTTGGTACATCAATACAACAGGGGCTCGAGTGTGTACAAAGGAATTGTACGACTCAAAGTACCACCCTCTCTCCGTATCATATACTGTCTTGTCTGGTAAAGGGCGACATCCTTATTAGACTAGAAACTCTTTTACATAGATACAGCTAACTTAATATTAACCAACAATATTAACCTGAAAGGCGGTGCTTAAGGTAGACCTAAACCGGATTACCCCAGCACCCATTAAAGCGTAGATGACATTGCAAGGGTGGATTTCTTTTACTGAGACGCCTCGGTGTGACAAAGTTTTCTTTGTTGCAGTTGTGAAGCACTTTTTGAACTTGATGCGCATAAATTAGTACACTATATATACTGTTAGCATGGTTTCATGCAGCTTTTAAGTGTCTTTAGCTCAGATTAAAGGTAGGATCTCGATATATTTATGTTTATCAAACGTAAGGTGCATAGAGTGATAACTATTCGAGGTAACTGAATATCTTAATTCCACAAATGTTGCATCTATTTTCCAGGTATTTGCCAGCCAGGTTGGAGCTATTTTAGTGGCTACTGTTACTTTACAAGTCGCACTTGTGGCTCATGGCTCACTGCTGTATCAAACTGTTCTACGATGAGTTCCAGTTTGGTAACAGTTCACAACCAGAATGAAAACGTCTATATTCAACACCGTCCCAACGGAGAGAGAGCCTGGATCGGACTCAATGACCGAAGTGTGGAGGGCTCTTTTGTGTGGACAAACAAAGAAATAAGCAGTTTTAGGTTCTGGGCCCCACAGCAACCGAACGACTGGAAAAACGAAGACTGTGTTCACACTCTGATCTTGGCGCCAGGCATGGTTACACTTGGAATGATGTGCCTTGTCATAACTGCTATAACTACACTTGTTTTAAAGGTACATGAGATAATATTGGTTAGGTACTAAGATAAGAAATAATTATGTTTTTGTGACCCTTTTTGTGTTTTAGCCTGCATTCAACTACAATAAAGAAAGACCTATCAGAAAAAAAAAATTGAAACAAATCAGAATCTGACTGAAAAAGTTTGAGTGGTTTTGTTTTGAAAACATTGTCATTAATCATTAGTAAACCAAAGACTCTGGTAGATTTCGTTGCAGATTCTCGTTTGCCATTTACACAAATCATTCTCATTTACCGACAAAGAAAATGTCCACTAAGCCTGAAATCTGTACCAAAGATGAGTTTGAAGAAATAGAAAACGAGATTCCGTTGAAACATTTCGTTCACGTTAACTCTGACGTAGACTTGTAGGCGCGCTTCCATTTCTTTTATGTTTTCCACAGGGACGAAACGAAACCTGTTTTTAAAAGAAACATTTTTGTAAATGGCTCAACGAATATGAGCTCCGCAAGGCAAGCTTTTTAAGATCCTTTTTGCGAGTCACGTTTTCCCCGCATTTTATTTCTCTTGACGGTTCACCCGTAAGACTAAAGAGTGTTTATTCTCTACACTGTGTGATTTTCCCTTTTAGACTTGGATGAATGTACCACTGTTTCCCATTCCTGTGACGTCAATTCTGTATGCCAGAATACCGTGGGTTCATACACATGCTCGTGTAATGCCGGGTACACAGGAGATGGAAAACCTTGCAATGGTATATTAGATAATAATTGAGGCAAAGCACGTCCACACGAATCAGATAATTATCTTTTTTACCCAGATTCGTGCAAACGGGGTCTTAAACCAGTCTGAGCAGTTTTAAAAAGATGCGGTTTCGGTGAGCGGATTCACTAGTTTCGTGTGGAGGCCAATGCCGATTCGTGTGAAAATAAAAAATGTGGCTCTTAAAAATATCTGGTTCGTGTGAAAAAAGGTACAATTCCTATGCAGCGTAAAACTGACGTTTGACACTGTCACCTACTTTGTTGGGCAGAAAAAAAAAAAAGACTACATAGACCGGCGACCAGATGTAAACTATCAGGCAGATATAATCTCACGAAGATTCCACTTTCTCATGCAGATATCGACGAGTGCTCCACCAACTCTCACAGCTGTGACGCCAATGCGGTCTGTAACAATACCGTGGGATCGTACGTATGCGCATGTAAAGCAGGATACACAGGAGATGGAAGGACATGCACTGGTAAGTTGTAAAAAGTGTAACAAATATATGTATCTCTGTTTCTTCTGGGAAATCGAATTAGACTGGTCACAGTCCCCTATTTTTCCTTAAGACCGTCGAGATCGAAGACTTTGCGTTACAGGCGGCCGTCTTGTATGAGTGTCAAATCTACTTAGAGGGAGGAGGACAGTTTTCTCGCCTCTCTTCCCCCACGGCTATAAACCACTTTCCCGCCCCCTCGTTACATACATGCATGAAACTAAGAAAGCCGCCCGTAATGCAAAGTCTTCGAACTCCACGATCTTACGAAAAAATAGGTGACTGTGAACAGTCTATTAATAATTAGTGCTAGGATAGATGGTGACACCACCAACTGCTGCAACAACAACTAGAAATCTATGGTGTGGAAACTTCTCTGACTGGTCACTTTGTCTTGCTTCGCATAAAATATTTTATGAACGTTGTTTAAGCTTGTTATGCGATACGTAAGAGAGGAAATTCTCTTGATTTATCAATAACCATCTCTTATAGAGACCGCGCTTTCCCTGCTGTATAGTTCAACCGGACTTTTTAGTGAGCAAACTGTAATAAAACACCTGTTATTAACTCAAAATACTTCCGCGTTTCTGATTGGTTTAAATGTCCTTAACTAATTCTTCATAACCAGCTGCCGTTGACCAAATTTGAGAGGTGTTTCGGTTATCCTGTCAAAGATGAGACTTGTAAGGCATCCGCGTAGACCCAGGGAAAGTCAGTCGCGCCGTTTCTGCTGACTCTACTGAGAACCCCGGAAACCGCATTTTTTGCACCTTATTTGTATAGAAGAAGCCTTAAACCGCTCTGGAGCGCGGTTTAAAAAAGATGCGGCTTCGGTGAGGCTATTCATGGTTTCGTGTGGATTAAAGGCCTATTAGTGTGAAAAAGTATGCGGTGCACTTCATTATTGATTATAAAAAAGGACAGCTGAAGGCTTGGTAGTTCAGTTTTGGTGATGCTAGAGAAAATGGCAAAGAAGACTGAAAGAGCCAAACTACCGCCTTTTAAAGAACAACGCAAAATTGAACAGCAAACATAATACTCGACCGACGACAACGGCTCTTGAAGATAGATATTCTTTAGACTGAACATGCCCTGTTATCCTGAATTTACCGAAGAACAGGCCAATGTTATGAAGACGAAAGAAACTTTGCATCGATGAAGAGAAGCATGATTTAAATGCAGATCTAGGGGGCAGGGGGGGGGGTAGCAATACGGACGCCGAATCCAAATTAAGGGTTTTGTTCAATAATAAGTTACGCTGAACTACCATCAGGCAGATGCAAAATCGCTTCTCCTTAACGCTACCTTCACTACATTTTTCCAGACATCGACGAGTGTTCTACTAACACTCATGTGACGTCAATGCGGCGTGCAACAATACTGTGGGATCGTACGCATGCGCGTGTAAAGCAGGATACTCAGGAGATGGAAGAACATGCAATGGTGAGCCGTTTTAATCTTTTTCTAAAGGTGATTTAAAAGAAAGGAAATAATATCTTTGATTCCTGAAAACTAGCTTACTCGAGTGCAGATGAAAAAGATTTTTGGTTGGTCAGACGACAACAACGACTACAACAACAGCAGAAAAAAAAATCATTATTACTCTACAATTATATATGTTGTTGAATAGGAGAAAACGTAGAGTACTGGCTTCTTGGAATAGCTGTTACAGGTCAAAATTAAACTCAGTTTAAACTGAGATTTTTTAACCTACAATGGTAGGTTGACTCTCCATTTCCTTTGTCTCCTCGCCCTAATTATTGACCATGGATTAGGGTTAGGAGACAAAAAAATCACCACTGGAAATTTAGAAACAACCTAGGTTTAAAAATTTTACCTGAATTTAATTTTTACATGTCTCATAGCCATAAGATAGCCATTGGCCATTGGGGTCAGGACCGGCGGTTTCGGAATGAGGGGGGAATGCATGCGCAGATGGGACTGTTATTAAAATGCTACGGAAAAACTAATTGTATGATTGTGTTTTCGAGAGCAGAGTAAATTTCGCGTTTGTCGTTTTTCTTTCCAATCTAGCAGGTTGCGAATAGCCCGGTTCCTTGCTGTTCAGTATACAACAGTTCATCAGCCTCTATGAGGTTATGAGATCGCTTGCTAAATGAAACGAACGCTTATCCTCTTAGGTTCTAGCTTACACGGGCCTAAAATCACATAACAAATCTCACGGAAAATCGCCGGTAAAGACGGGCCTGTATGACGCACTTTAGGAACCCTTGGCGAAAGCAACGCCTCCCCCTTATCCTTCTTGTTCCCTGAGTAAATACAGCTTGTTGAGCCTGTACAAACACCCAATGTAAGTGGAACGGTTTTTGACACCTTTTTTTAAACATGGTTATGTTATTTCATTCCGTTTTCGTTTTCTCCTGCTACCTCTTTGCAAAATGGGCGTGACTGCCCCCGCAGGGATTTCGCCTTCCCCGAGGAGGGACTCTAGTAACTCGCGCGTATATTTAGGAAAGTACTTACAGTTGAAATATACAGTCAGTATGCCAGAAAAAATCTCGATTTGTTTGAACAGGGGCCGCAAGGAATCGGTAGGTAATGATGACGTTTCTATTGTTTGCGCCCGCAAGTACGAAATGGTTAGGATGAGGTAAAGAGAGAAAATCCCGAAGGGACCGCCTAGGTAGATTTTGTGACATTTATTGTGCAGTCGTACTTCGATATTCTTTTGCGTTACGTGTTATCAGTGACATTCTGTGGAGCAGTTGTTCTGAAAGTTATGGACCAAAAGACAATCGTTAAGCGCAGATGAAGTTATAAGGTGCGTATAACTGTGTATATAAAATCACTTGGAGAGTTTGCCAGACACGAGTTGTTCACAAATCTTGAATTGGAAACCTTGCCAGACACTCCTTCTCTCTCTTTGACCGGAATAAGACTCAGCCCCAAACAAGCAAGATGAGTGAACAACGGCTAGCTTATCACTAGCACGACGATGGACGATTGCAGAAATTCGCCGACAATCAAATTCTGTGCTGATTTATTCTCTGTTCACAGATGTCCTTCCGCTATAAAGTTTAAAATAAGACTACAATGCGCGAGCGTGAATTGATCAAACGTCCTTTTAATTTCTAAGGCTTACAATGAACTGAATGTAAAAAGTGAAAAAGAAATAGCGAAAAATTCAACTTCTAATGAAATCTTTTCTTATGGTTTAGAATAAACTATTCTCGAAACTGATAATTTTTTTATCAAAGCTGTGTAAATCGAACTGAAACTGTGCATGAACCTTACGTTTCCTGTATTTATCCCACCTATTGTATGGAATATGCGTGAAAATCTTCATTATGAATCGGTATATTTCAAAGAGCTACACAACGAGCAAGGATACTATTGACCGACAATATACAGAGCGGGGGCAGCTGTAGTGTCAAGTATTACTAGTTATTTAAATATTGTTATTCTTCTATTTCCAGATATTGACGAGTGTGCTAGCGGTACTGATGACTGTCACAGTTCACTTGCTTCTTGTACCAACACAGTGGGATCCTTTAGTTGTACGTGTAATAATCCTTCCAGCGGAGATGGCAGAACTTGCAATCTACCTTCAGGTAACGAGAAAGATCAGGGGTTTCGTTACAGGGCGGGACGCCGGACGCAACGTCCGTTTGTTTGACATGCAACGTCCGGTAGTTCACACACGTAATACTAATTTTTTAAGTGTGAAAATCGTTTTTTTCCATTTATTAACCAAAGACTTGACCCTTATTTTACTCACTTAGTTATGTAATGCATACAATCGAAAAAAAAAAGAAAAAAGAAAAAAAGAGAGATAATTTCTGTCATACACATGTATAATTCAAATCATTATTCAGCATTCCCCATCGAGATCACTCCCCCCGTCTCCTCCTTAGCTCGCGAACAGCAGACGCATTTCCGGTCGTCGCTTCTATCCCTCCGAAAAATAGCGTTTGCGAACCCGAGCGGCTAAACGATTTCCGTGACGTAAAGCCTTTTGTTTTGATGTTGGCCAATCAGATCAAAGGATAGAATACAGCTCGAGTGACTTCTCGCGACCTCGCGCGTTGAAGTGTATTGGATTTCGAAGAGAGTTACCAAATACGCTTTGGAACCACGCTTTGGAACGTGAATTTCACGACCATAACAAGGTTTCCTGCGACGTTGAATGTTGACTTCTTTACGTAGCAACTGCTTCTTAAGCTATGTATGTGATGTGGGCCTTTGGTTTCGCTTTGTACGGTAGTACGTGACATAAACAAAACCTGGACAAACTAATTGCTACGGCTAAAGGAAAGTAACATAGCTTAATGACATCCCGCTCAGACTTATTAGTCTCGCTTGCGTAAGCAGCGAGACTCATAATCTGCAACGCGTTTTTTGCCCCGGGGAGGGTGGGCGGGGGCGGGGGGAGTCCCTTATATAGGCTGTATAGGTAAGTGCCGCGCCAAAAGGTCTTTCATTTTTAACCGTTTTGGTTTGAAATAGGGTTTCAATTTCGACCATTTTGGTCTGAAACAGAGTATGGTTTGTGCCTTGTAGTCTTGAATTGGGTATTTAGCTACTTCTTCATCATTTGGCGATAGCACCATTTCCCTTTTAATGTTTACGCCAACTACCGTGTACGTGCCGTAACAGCTTTTATTTTATATATACTGAGATTTTCACATCAAATTTTGCTGTGTGAAAAAGCGTTTCGGATTTTACTTCGACCAATCAGAGAGGCGAGACGAGTTTCTCACACGCGAAAAAATCGTTTCGTCCAATCACAAACCACGGTTTAAGCGAATTGTGTTTTCGCGGGCTTTTTCGCGATCATCGCGGGTAGCTTTGTCGGGCAGCTTTGACAAGATAATATTTTCGGTGTACTCGAGCTGTTCGTAATTCAAACTTATCAAGAGCTATGAGGTATTTTTGAGGATGGCTGAACAATCAAGATTTGTGTCTCTAGACAAACCTATAGACAAGTTTATCGAAGACCAAAAAAACAAGAACACTCTTTCAAAGACACGAAGAGATGTAAGTTTGCTGACTGAGTTTCTCAACTCCAAAAATTGCGTTGCGTTACTACCGTGATTCCGTGACTGTCATTTTGACGGCTCCGTCTCTTCAAACGTACGTTATGTCACGTGCAGCACGTAACAGATTGTCACGCAGAGTCGCCGGCTGGTAGAGTTCAGTGTTTCAAAATGGCTAAAATTGATCCAGTTTAGTAGTAAAGGGTGCACCGAATTAACCCCTTTTTTGGGGTGGATTCTCATTAGCGTGGGGAGGAATACATTAACGCCGATGACGTCATAGGCTATTGTCCTCATCTCATGAATAAACTGCGCAGGAATCTCATTAAGATAAGGTCATGTGCTATTTTTATTTTGTGGCGGTCATGGTTGGTATAACCGGTTTGACAGGTTAGTTATTTTTGGAAGATGATGTCATATGTATTCCGGGGTACTATGATGTCATAGTTGTTTTGATTGGTTGACCGGAATTTGAAAGACGCTCATTGGCTGTCTCGTTTGACGAAGCATTCTAAACTTGTCTGTGACTTAAAATCACGGAGGCGTAATGTAATTATGCAAGTCCTATTTCCTGCTGCTGTGATTGTCCTAGTTCCGGTTCACTGACTTTTGGCGGGCAAATCGTGCATAGTAATGAGGGCAAAGACAAACTAGCTCTTGTCCTATTTCCTGCTGCTGTGATTGTCCTTGTTCCAGTTCACTTATTTTTGGCGGGTAAATCGTGTATATTAAAGAGGGCAAAGGCAAACTAGTTCTTTTTTACACTGCAAGCAATGCTTTACTTACCCCTCTCCTTTTCATTTTTTATTTTCCTCCTCCTCCACAATTTTATTATTCTCCTTCCTCAATTTTTTTATTCCCATTTTTCCCTCCTCCTCCTCCTCCTCCTCCTCATTTCTATTGTTTTCCCTCCACCACCGCCACATTTCTATTGTTCTCCCTCCACCACCACCACCACCACCACCACCGCCACATTTCTATTGTTTTCCCTCCACCACCACCACCACCACCACCGCCACATTTCTATTGTTTTCCCTCCACCACCACCACCACCGCCACATTTCCATTGTTTTCCCTCCACCACCACCACCACCACCACCGCCACATTTCTATTGTTTTCCCTCCACCACCACCACCACCACCACCGCCACATTTCCATTGTTTTCCCTCCACCACCACCACCACCACCGCCACCACATTTCTATTGTTTTCCCACCACCACCACCACCACCGCCACATTTCCATTGTTTTCCCTCCACCACCACCACCGCCACATTTCTATTGTTTTCCCTCCACCACCATCACCACCACCACCACCGCCGCCACCACATTTCTATTATTTATGACCGCCACAAAATAAAAATAGCACATGACCTTTCTTTATGAGATTCCTGCGCATTTTATTCATGAGATGAGGACAATAGCCTATGACGTCATCGGCGTTAATGTATTCCTCCCCACGCTAATGAGAATCCTCCCCAAAAAAGGGGTTAATTCGGTGCACCCTTTACTACTCAGTTTCACCTTTTTACACCACTCTTTGGTTGAACAAAGGAATTTTGCAACAGGAAAACCTACAAGAAGTACAAAAAAACGAGCCTTTAGGCGGTAATGTCTACTTTTGTGCGCTTCGAAATTGGAAGTGTTTACACAATGACTGCCGGCCTACCATGAAAATTCCTCAACTTTGATGGTGTCTTACAAAGATTAAATTCAATAACCCAAGCCAGTTTCTTGGTATGTTTTAAATGAATGTCTAAATCTGTGATTTAAATAGCATGAAGCAGGAGCCAATGAAGAGAATTTGGAGTTATACCACATGTTAAATATTGCCGTCGAAAATGAGTAACGAACTTAAGTTTTTGTTATCCTGAAAACCTATCCCTCGTTTTTAAATTATTTCGGGACGACGAGTTTCCCTATTGTCCTGAAAGTATCTTTTAGTGGAAGAAAAAGATTCTTTTTCTGTTCATGGAAAGTGTGCAAATTTCTCCATGCGTCTTCGTTTGCGAACGCGAGGAAAGTTGATGTTATGCGAATTTCAGGTTAAAAATTAGAGCAGTCTGATACTCAGACATCGAAAACCAATCTTGTAATTTTTCTCACAAATAAAAAGCTTTTGACAGGAACAATCTACTTTAGGTTTCTTATCTACCTAAAAGTTATCTATGAACAAAATGTGAAAGAAATTGCCACGGTCGATTTTTCCTCACCGTCGCTCTTAAAACCCTGAGAAGAACATGTATTTAAAGAAATATAAGAACAAATATAAAACGCTTTCGATCTGATCAAAGTTCTGTCAGAACCTAGAAGGAACCACGCATGGGAAATCAATTACTACACGTCCTAGCTTTCAAAGATAAAGGACGTCTACTAAAAAATATCCATAAAGCGGCACACGACAGACTATCGAAGAGTTCTACAAAGCATACTTTCCTGCCAGGAACCAGAAAGGAACAGAAGCAACAAACGGCATGATGCGTCTACTGTCATTAGGACATTCATCGTTTCAAATATGATCAAAACAACTATATGTGTGATAAATCATTGGCTCCGTAGGCAAATAGATAAAAAGTTTCCTCTAATCTTTTCTTCAATATGAATCCTCTTGATGCTTATTTCATCAATCAGTCCCACAATCCTGGCAAATTAACTTTCGTAAACGCGTCGTTCTGAGAAAAAAGGGTGGCTATACACAAGCTACGTCGTCCTTTCAATTTCGACTTGTAAACATATCCACCGCGCACGATCTTGCGAGAAGTCTCGCGAGTTAGTTCCTTGATTTTAAGAGCTAAACCGTGATTGGCTAAAAAGGTTTTACGTCACGGAAATCGTTTTGCTGCTCGGGTTCGCAGACGCTATTTTTCGGAGGGAGAGAAGCGACGACCGGAAATGCGTCTGCTGTTCGCAGGCTACCCCCTCCTCTGCCAGCTATAATAACTGACCAGACAAGTTCGCCGACATCTGTGATGTCCATGATACGGACTCCGAAAATGGAACCCCTTAGGAGTTTGAGCCTCCTGCACTCAACGTTAGCGCCGTTGGCGCGAACGGTGCACGTCCACCAGCTGAACCACTGCATCGGGTACTTTCAAATACTACCGAAAACCCTGATATGTTTAGTTACCAAGCCCGTAGTCACTTGTGATGGATGCACCTTGCGCTGACCTAGACTGCTTAAAAAGTGCTTTACTATCAGCATTTATTGGGGTTTGAAAAGATAGCTTTTGAGACCGTAAACCACCGTGTGGTCACGGGGAATACTCTTTTTTTGTTAACGAATAGTCGTGCAAGAAACGGTCCGGCTTGAGGGAGCGTCAGTATACGGCTCGTCTTATGAACAAGTCTATTTTAATGCATTTTTTACTAGCGCAAGTGAAAAAGTTATGTTGATACCCCTGATGGGTAATAGTGTTTTCTTCCTGTGATGTTGTTTGTTGTGAGGGTGTAGTGGGGAATTTAGGACATGAAAAGTTCCCGTTCTTTAGCTCGAGCTGATGTACAGTAAATGAAACGTTGCAAAGTTATACTTAACTGATACGTTTTCCAATGCCTAGCGACTGATGTTCTTTTTCTTCTTTCCTACCAGAATGTCAGAACTACGGGAGTCTCAACAGCGGAACCCGAAGGACTTCCTATAGCAGCTACTACTATTATTGTGATAACGGTCTCGGCCCTGGATGGTTCCGTTTTCAGGGGTCTGCCGGCACAAGAATGGCAACATCATGTCCGTCTTACATGAGGTGTGGTACCTATTATCCCGGCTGGCTATATGGTGGACACCCCTCAGTAGCAGACGGTCAGGCCACCAGGAAGGTGTATTTTAGAAGTAATTACAACTGCTGTTATTACTCAAGAGGCATCAAAGTGAGAAATTGTGGTTCATATTACGTGTACTATCTTAATGGCGTACCTACTTGTTATGCCCGTTACTGTGGCACGAACTAGACGCAAGTGCAAACAAAGCATATATGTATACATATTCTATCATTTCACTAAAGTAGGCTTTATTGTAAAAACAAAGTAACCATCTAAAAAATAGACTCTACTTACACTGTAACTTCAATATCAATATCTGTTTATAATAACTTTAGCGAAGAAAGAAAAAGTGAGAAAGGACAACGTACTACTTTTAAGCCATTTTGCAGATTATAGTGCCTATAACGTAAACGGCATTTTTATTATGTAATGGGGACCTAATTTTTAATGAGACTCACGCGCGTTTTGTCCAAATCTTTATAATCTCCCGAGCCTTTAGGCGAGGGAAATTATTGGTCTTTGGACAAAACGCAAGTGAAATTATTCCCTAATTAATTTCACGAGTATACCATTTGATTACCTATTTATATTATGGGTGGCGAATTACCTTAGCAGTCTTGGATTTCTGACACGTTTATCCGGGATCGTATCGATCGAGAACTCCACTCTCCCGAACGTTTGTTAGAGCTTAAATTTGGCTTAAGTTCAGAATTTTTCGACAAAATACCTGTTAGAAGCCTTCTTGATGTACTCTTCCGTGTGTTCAGGTTTTCTAAAGCGTCTTTTTATGCCCTGGCATCTTCATTCATGATATTTTAAAACTTCGTCGCCATCTTGACACTGAGACGTACAGAAGGTTGCCATGGCAATTATGTAATTTCACATGTGAAATTACAAATTATTGCTGAAATTTCGCGCCAAAATTAAGGAGTAATTTGTCACCTATGATATTAGCTAAACAAACCACGATGGACAACATGATTGTTAAGATGTGGGAGTGCGGGGTATGAAACTGCTTACTTTTTTTTTTGATCGGTCCAGGTAAGCAGTCTGTGAAATCGGGAGCGAAATGGCTGTAAGGATACAGTCTACTCTCGCCTTACGGACACGCTGCTGTTACGGGCACTCCGGGTATACGAACAGCAGCTAAATCCCTCCCCATTGCGGACTTTTGTTTACTATCAAGTACACTAACTCGCGGTCCCGAGGGTGACCTCAATAACAAGAGTTGACCTCACAATGTTGAGCCCTGATTTTGGACTTTATTAGGATAGGAGTTTCATCAACAAATAAAGGCACAATTTAATGACATTAATATAATAACTTGTTACATGCTCTTGTACGTTGGCATAATGTTACTTACTGCCAGGATCCCTCAGGTTTTTCCTTTCTTGTGCAAATTGGGGCTTTGTTTTTCAGTACACCTCACTGGGATTACCAAAATTTTATAAAGATAAATGGAAATTAATTCTGGTCTAAGCAGTGAAAAGACACCACCTCGCGTCATCATTGCACACTGGATATAAATCGAGGACTTATAAAGATCATTTTAAGATTATTAAAGAAGATACATCTTAGATGTAATTACCTCTAGACAACTGGAAAAGACCGTGTTAAGCTTCCGTCTAGTAGTTAATGACGAAGTAGTGAATAAATAAAATGCTGTTTGCCAGTTAATTTTTTTGCCTTCTCATGTTTGGCATGCATTATAACTGGAAACCCTTCCCAAACACGTCAGGTTGAGAAAGGAAGGCGTAAAAACAGAAGAAAGTTAGAGGTGGTAAGAGCGGGAAATAAGGCGCAGAACTGACCCATCGTTGAGGGGCGGGTCGGAAGTTAGGCGACATATATCTGGCGTCCGTTGCAAATGAAAGAACGAAGACGATAATTAATAAAAAAGATGATACAACATTTTGCCTATTCCCTTTTTTCTTGTGATAAAGTATACCCAACAGACTCCTGCTAACGGCTGCACAGGAATTTTAAGGCAGATAAGAATGCTATTAGAACTCCGAACAGTTACGATGACTGATAAGTTTCAGGATGTTTCAAAACGCACGAAGTTTGAATAATTATCATAAACTACATTTGGATGCGCACATTAATCAGTAAATAGATTTCATTGTCAAAAAACAAGGTGCATGTGTTACTAAAATTTTTGACTTTTTTCAGATTTTGTTCAGAGTTCCTTTCCTTTGTTAAATTTTTAACTGTTCATTTATTTCTTAGACACATATTTGGCATATTTTGGCGGCAGTCTGTTGTTTTGCGATATGAGGAAAAGCTGTATTGTGTAAATTTATAGATTTAATTTAAAGACTTAAAAGTCTGTGGATGGGTTTGTTTTCTTTAGAGACGGTTAAGTCAGTTATTTTGATTGTAGTGACTTGCAATTGTTTGCAATTTTCATGGCCGAGAAATTGGTTGGTCCACGGTGTGTGCAAATAGTAAGGAAAAGGAAGCAACCCCCCCCCCCTTTTGAAATTGGCGTGTACTGATTGGCGTCGTCTCAAGCCGGCTATGGACACGTTCTTTAATGACAGAAGAACGCATTAGCGGCCTCGCAATGATGATTATTCATCATGGAACCAACTACATGCCAACGCCAATGGATATTTATGAAGGAAAATCAAGCTGAAGACATCTTTTAATAGGTTAGCCAAACATCATGCAGTATTGTGAAATGTTTAGTGCACTAGTGCTTGAATATACGTTGTGTTTCAAATTAACGGGACCTCGGCAATAAGCACTTTTAAGCACTGAAAACACCTGTCTTTTCAGATCACAACTTCTTCTTGGTCGAATTTTCGCAGACGTATCTCATGACAAGTGCTGAAAATAGCGTTTCGGAGCCTCCAAATTTAACTTGACCCCAGACCCCCTACAAGACTTGTGTCTTCAGCACTCGCGATAATGAATGCACTCCCCGCCCCCCCCAACCCCTCCCCGATAAAAAAAGCTTAGCTAAGGCCCTGGAAAAGCCCTATGTCAAGCAAAGTCAATATGTGATCGGAGCAGCCTCTTCCTTGGAAACCTGCCTGTTCTTCTCGATCTTAGCCTACTCTAAATCGCTTTTTTAATTATCGCCCCCGTAACAACCTGCAGACACTTAAGATTACCTTACATTGGATTAAAAATGTGATCTCTCTCACAGTTGTGTGGAAATTCTAGTTTTATTTCTCTAAAGCATTAACAACAATACGAAATGTAAATCCACAGGATGCCATGCTGAATTCATTGCATTTACTATTATTCTGGGAAGCGCATGAAAAAGGATGCGTCGATGGGACTTGTAATTTGCGAACGGCAGAACTATTATTTTGACACGTAGGTCGAAGAAAATACCCTTGATAAAGGCTATCAATGTACAGCTGAATGTAAAATTTAATGGTTGGAAAAGTTGTTTGTTAAGTATAGGTAATCACATGAGGCCAAGTACTATTAAGGATTAATTGCACGAGAGTTTTCAAAATTTTCCAAAATTGCCCGAGTCGCGAGTCACTCGTAATCTGATCACGTGCGTTTTTACCTTCTCTCACGTGAAACTTACGAAAAGCGCAGCGTAGAAGCGAGGGCGTTTGCTTCGACCGTACGCACTCCGATCCCCAACCTTTTGGTTAATACGCTGTAGTATCAAAATAATAATACAGAGGCTGGACAAGCGCATTATGCAAGGTTTTGGATGTTTTTGTATGAAGGTAATTTCTAATCCTTTCAAGGCAGTTACTTCATCCACCTTTGAGGTAACACAATCTAAATGGCTGCTCAAGTCCGTAAACAGATCAAATGTTGACGTAAGATCACTCAAACCGATTTAGATTTGTTTCTCTTTTTAGCTTTACAACACAAGTTCAACAACATAAGTTCCTGAAAGATGACATTGATAAAATGATATTATTGTCAAGCCTAATTTTCTTTAGTTTGAACGTCGAGGAATGCAGTCATTGGAAAAAACTATTAGCCATTAAAATTTATTTCCTGAAAGGCTTTATACGTTTTCTTTTCTTAGACATTTTTCCCTGATTTAGCCAAGACAATAGGTTCGCTCACACAATATAGGAAATGTTTCAAGCGTCGCGGTGGTTGAAAATAAACACCATAAGAATCCGAAATCACAAACTTAAGATTTTCCTCCTCGATTCTTTTTTCATGCGACAGAGGTTGAAAATAATTTATCATGCGATGCCATATTTTCTTCTTTTTCACTGGCCGAAAGCCCACCACTTGACCCTGGGGGTGTCTCCGCATACAAAAGGGGTAGGGATGCTCGTCGGAAATTTGAATTAAGCGAGACGACGAGCATCCCCCCCCCTTTCATATACGGAGTCCCCCGGCACTTGACCTGCAAGTGAGTGCCTACAAATAATGGTCTGCTAATGCGAAATGTCGTACAACTGTGTTTGGCTGCAAATAGTACTGATTCTGCTCACGCGTAAACGAAACCACGCTTTTCTCCTTCTTACGATCATTCTTGCGCGAAAAAAAGGCAGATCACTTCGCTTCCAGAAGATATTCATTAGAAACAAACTTTGTGATCGAATGATAAAACAATTATTATCAAATCTGAAACAAAACAAAAGAAAGATGATTTAGGGTGCAAATATAGAAGTGTTTCTTTTGATATTAGTACACGTGCTTTGTTACATAATTTCATCTCCTTTTGGATTTCAACGAGTTGAACAAAGTAGGTCATTCAAACTAGCACGTATTAAGAGTATCACAAGAGTAGGTTTAATGCAGTAAATTTGAAGTCCCTTTTCCCTCTCCGGACCACTGTGTCTCAGTTATCTCTGTTCGTTTTTCCTTCCATAGTTTGCTTGAGATATTAGACTAAGCGCTTCGCTTGTGCGTCTAAACCTTTTTCTTTGCTTAATTTAGCGTTTTCTTAACTACTCCAATCGTACTTGCGACGCCCAGTCATCAGTTTCCAGGGAGACCTCAACACACCATGGCAGTGTGGGTAGAGGACCTAACCAAAGACAGTTTTAAAGTCTGTCTCATATAACTGTAAGTACGGCGAGGAATGCACTCGGCCTCGTTATACCGCGGTATTCCTTTTATAAGGGGTTTGTCAAGATCTGTTTCACCACGAGGATAAATAAACAGCAACTGGAAATCGTTTAAAAGGAAACAAAAAGGAAAAACCAAAAAAAAAATAGACTCGTGTTTTATCCATACATGTACTTCCTTCGACCGCACTCTTTGAGACTACTCGTGAGAAAATAGTTGCTTGACTACTCTGATTCAAAAATGTTACAGAGAACCGCAATATAATAAACTTTGACGACAATTGGTTGCTCTGGTTACAAATATGGTGTCAAAAGTGAGGACTGCGTAAGGAGAAGGATCGATGATGCATGAGCACTAGTGTGATTGGGCTGAACGTGACTTAAATGGATAGAATTGTAGGTAAGATGACAGGGTTGCTGGAAGGTTGCTGGATGAATAAAGGATTTCCGTATTTCGTACACAACACTTTTTCAAGGGGTATGGTAAAGGGGGGAATTTCATATATCCCATGATGCTTCGCGCCAAATTTCTGTCTTCTCTCCGCGGTGGAAAGAGCGTTCGAGGGTTTCGAGGGAGATTTTCAACGACCTGAATTTCAAGATGCAGCTCATCCAAGGTAAGTTTCAATGAGCCCTGTTAATCTTTGGTATCTCATTAATAATGTAAAATGGTTCCATGGTCATTTCACGCATTATTGCTCTCGTGTACGACCC